AGATAGATACATCAGGGCTTACCACGGCCCCTGGCACACAGTGAGAGCTCAACATTATTTAACTATCATAATTATCATCTGCATCCAGACCTCAGCACAGTGGATAGGACACCAGAGACCCCAAAGCAGTTGCCTGGGAGGCCGGAGATGGTTTCCTGGGTAGATGCAAATCATACAAAAAAAAAAAAAGAGAAGACAATCTTAATTTTATACAACTGCTCACGGATGACCCTCCATATCTTAACTCTCTCACTTATCTCTTTCTGTTACTCCTCGTCAAAGACACCTCCTTCCTGCTCCATGATCCGTCCATTCCGAGCCCAGACGGGGAGAGACAGCCAGCTTCCCCGTGTGAACACAAGACCCCTCCTCCCTCAGATCAAGTGAACTACATATGCATGTCATGCTTCCTTCTCTGCACTGCTCCCTGGGGAAAGAAGTGCTGGCCTTGAACATGAGATAAATATGCACTGTGGGCCAGGCACTGTTCCAGGCACCGGCGATGGAGCAACAGCAAAAGATGAACAAGAAGGCCACGCTCCAAGGCCTCTCATTTTAAGGAAGGACCAGAGAAAACAAGCAAAAGCCAAGAAGTAAAACCAGGCAATGATTGCACGCTGTGGGGAGTGGCGGAAGGAGCCCAGGGGCAGTGTGTCTGGGGACATTTTATTTATGCAGGGTGATCAGAGCACCTCTCGGAGGAAGCTCGCTCGCTATGTAATCCCCTTCCAGTATTTGGTCCAGGTCTATTTTCTTTTGCCCCATATTTGACATGATAGCCCCGCACCCCCCCACGAGGGCAGGGTCTCACTGGCCATTCTTCTAATGAATCCTCAACAAAAATGAAAAGACATGGCTAACATTTCTTGAATGTTCATGAAACACTCAGTGTAAATCTCAGTACCACATATGTATTAATCTTCAAGATACGTAACGGAGGCAAGAAGAAAAGGGCAGCTGGAGAAATTGAAGCCTGGAGGGTAACTTACCCGAGGTCACTGAGTTAGCAGGTAATAGAGGCAGGATCTGAACCCAGGCAATGTGATCACAAAGCCCACACACACTCACAATCCTCTCGTGAGCTGCCTGCCCTCATCCCAGCAAGGGCTTCAGACATGCATAGTTCTTTATTAATGAGGAAGTAAAATCATTTACAGGAGAAATGATGCAAACCAGTCATTCATTTTATTTTTTAAGCAAAGCAAAGGGAGAGAGACATGTCCTCAGGAAAAGGCTAATGTGACTGGCAACCAACCATGCACTCTGAGTCGCTGGAAACCTGCGGAGGGGCTGGACCACCGGCACGGTCAGTAATCTACTGTGGCAGACGTGCAGGAGGGCCAGGTCCACACATATCTTCTGAACAGGCTTCTTAAATTCGGGGGCGGGGGGGCGGTTCTACATTATGAGCTCCCTTTCCCCAGTACAGAAGCCAGAACTCAAATCCACAGCCACCCTGCAACTACAACTATGTTCCAGGTTCTGCCAAGGAGGGATGACTTCTTAGGATGGCAACTGAAAATGAGCAGCGGGAAGGACAGCTCTGTAAAGAACTCTCACTTCCTTCGGACCAGGGTGGAGGTTGCAGAGGCAGTGGGAGTTGCAAGGTCCTGATTCAGAAGGAGCCTTACAGCTGGTACAGCTGGGAACAGATGGCAGTGACAGCAGCTGTGGTGTCCACACTAGCTGGGGCCAAACACAGCCCGATTTGCCAAAAGACACATCTACTGTTGTAGCCTAACAAACCCAGCAGGATGCACCCTCAGTCTTCTGGTCCTTAAAGAGGACAGAAGAGGAGCCAGGCTGAGCCAACCAGGGCACTGGAAGCCTTGGCCTGCTGGGACCCAAACCTGCCAAGGGAAGGCTTTCCTACAGAGGAGCAATGGCAGCTTCAGAATTCACTGCCAGCCTCACTGCACCCAGATCAGCTTCCCACTTCCATCAAAGTAAGACTCTCAAAACGACACAGTAACTTTGATATTGGAGAGAGATGAAAAGAAACATTTTAGAGCAAAGCAACAAAGTGAGTCTCTTCTACGAGTGAAGCAATACACATGCTGATGAGCAAAGACGTGCCCTGGAGCCCAACAGAGGAACCGGAGGAGCCAGACAGGGATGCACTCTGACCACATCCCCCAGAGAACACTGACGAAGGTCTAGCACATCCAGTAGCTTGTGCAGCTAAACCTAGTTATAGCACATTCCAAAAATCTAGACACGAAGGGAGTTAGTTTGACTGATTCCACTTGGATCAGGAAAGAGGACACGGACAACTGCATTTTTTTACAAATTAACAAGAAATGGAACGAGGCAAGAAAATCACAGCCATCATATCTCACCAGAAAATGGTTTGGCTTTAAATACTTATACCAAATGTGGCACAGAATATTTTGCACAAGTAATGACATCTTCGTAAGAACAGACCAACTGGATGATTTCCAGTGATAAACCTTTCCTGACAAGGAGGCAAGACAGCTCTTGGTAACTCTGAAGAAGCAGGGAGCCTAAAGATGAGAAAAATCTGGGCTGTCCTTGCTGTCTTTACCCAGAAACATTCTTAAAACTCAAGCCTGTAAGCGGGGCCATTTTCACATTGGACAACGCATTCTCAAATGCTTCCAGGCAGCCAGTGAGCGTCTGGAAGTACATTTGCACTGAAGATTATGGCTTAGACAATGTCGACTGATTGGACAATTCTAGAACTGCTTGTAAGACATGAAGCTTCAGGCTAATTTTGGCTCACTTTGCCCGTGATAATTCTGGATTCATATATTTCCCACAATCTCATTTACTACGTTGGGTGCAACTGCCTATTAAGATTAAATTCCTACCTTTGCAATATCTAGAAAGATACTAAGATAATAATTCCAAAATGTTACACATCCTGACAACTCCCCGTCCAACAAAGCTAAATATTTATTTGCATGCTGCATTATTTCCAAAACAAGACTTAAGGCCGTCTATGATAAAAGACTTACAGAACAGGAGTGAAAATAGAAATGGAGCACAGTAAAGAGAATCACAACTGCCAAATACAACGGCTGATATAATTTGCAAAAATAAATACTAAGTTTCCCTTCAAGCGATCTACTAGCTAAAGAAATAAAGTGTCCATAGAAGAAAACATTTCCTTGAAATATACTCCTTAAGAAGATCTATTTTAAAGATTTTTAGTTGAACCATTTATGCCTTAGGTCCTTATTCAAAGGACGTGGAACAAAGTTTTGCAACAGAAATTTTGAAATGTATGTAATATGTCCTCAAGAAGGTCATCCCTGTATCGACACTCAATAAAAGCCAAGCACAGTCAATCCGTGATAACTGTTATTTTTTTGATAACTGTTAGCTCAGTGAAGGCACTGGTGGTGGCAGCGATGGTGACGGTGATGGTGATGGTGGTGGTCGTGGTGGTGTGTGTTTTTGCGTGTCTTGGGGTTGGATGGTTGGAAGGAGAGATATTAGTAAAAGATACCTAATAAGACCCAGATATAAAACTTTCAGGGGATTTCACCTGCTGTGGTATAAAGTTTCGTCAATATGGAAAGAAACAATGAAGCAGCAGCTCCACCTATCGCCTCCATGCCTCCCTGGAGTCTCACAAAGTCCCAAGCTTTAGAAGACACCCGAAGAATAAGCAATTGAATATCCAGCCTTCCAAGAAGAGCCTGAAATACTGACGGTTGGGATTACTGGCTTAAGGAGATTCATGGGGCTTTGAGTCCCAAATAACGGCGACACAGTTGACTTTCTTTTATGCAAGTGAGAAAGAGATGTCTGTTTGGAAGGGCTGCAAAAAGCTACTCCCTTCTTGGTTTGATGTGTTTTCTCCAGAAGAACACTCCCACCCAAACGAAGTCTTAACATTTCCTCTTGACATAAGCCTTAGCTATAAGTGCAGACTCCAGTGAATTGTATAAAGTTAAATCAAGAAATAAGATTAAAAACATAGGGTCCAGTAGTCTAGATGGTACAAAGGACTAATCCAGACACACATTGAGTTCTCAACAGGGTCATCTCAGGCCTGGGCTGCTCCATCCCTGAAACACCACCACACGTGAGGACAAAAGGAAATGAACAGAACAGCCAAACGTCTAGACACAAATGGAATAGAATAAATGTATTCCTCTCCATCAGAATGTCACTCAACAGTCTTCACATTTGTCTCCAGTGAGGAAGGTTGTGGAATTATGCAAAGGTCCTAAGCTTTCAATAAAACTTGACAAGTGTAAAATATTAATCCAATCTGTCCAAACAGAAAGAAAGTGATTAATTAAAAGGGTAGGGAGATAACATGTGGAAATGTGAGGTGTTCCTTGGGATAAATGAGTTGAGGAATCATTAAAATCCTTTTCCCTTTGAGTAGGGTTTGAAGAAACGCTGTCACAGATGCAAAGTTCAGGCTAAGACATAACCATGACTTCTACATTTAAAGAAAATTTGCAATTTTTTGTTGCAATCATCTCAATGGAGGACAGTGATTGCCTCCCCAGGATAGATAATCGCACATCTTAAAGGCTACAATGTATGCTGATTACCCTAGGGCTCTGGTGTACACCTAAATTCCGAACTACAAGGTTTGTGCCTTCATTCTTCAATGATCTATTACCTACAGTATATGCCAATTACCATTCTCTGGCAAGGGCTAAATCTTCCTGTCTTGTAACGGAGCTGTTTTAATTGGCTGCAACCTCCCCACTCCTTTTTTTTTTTGGTACGCGGGCCTCCCACTGCCGCAGCCTCTCCCATCGCGGAGCACAGGCTCCAGACGCGCAGGCTCAGCGGCCGTGGCCCACAGGCCCAGCCGCTCCGCGGCATGTGGGATCCTCCCGGACCGGGGCGCAAACCCACGTCCCCTGCATCGGCAGGCAGACTCTCAACCACTGCGTCACCAGGGAAGCCCCTCCCCACTCCTTTCGACAAAGAAGAGAGAATTCAGACGGGGTGAGGTCTACAGACAATGACGAATGTGACAATTTAAGGATTCTCAGGGTTTCACTCACCATGCTGTGTGAAGAGGTCACTGTGAATTATTTCAATCAAGCAATATAGCTTCTGAATGGTCAGCAAACCCACGGGAACATTTAGGATGAAATCAGTAAACATTTTGCTATAAAAGGAAAAACACAAGTGAAAAGAGATGCTGGAAATACTGCAAAATGACCCAGTGGGATACAAGACAGTACCAAGACGCAAGTTCAGTGAATGGTCATTAGATGCCACCAGAATGATGGAATAGGCCCATTATACAATATGGGCCAAAATCTCTTCCAAAAGAATGATGCTTTAAAATGTTATTTTTCACTTCACACCCACTAAAATGGCTATAATCCAAAAGAGAGCCAGTAACAAGTGTTGACTAGGATGTGAAGAAACTGGTACCCTCATACCATGCTGGTGGGAATGCAAGATGGGGCAGACTTTGGAATACTGTTTGGCAGTTCCTGAAAATGTTAAACATAGTTACCATACGACCCAGCATTTCAACTTCTAGGTATATACCCAAAAGAAATGAAAATATTTATCCACACAAGACCCTGTATATGAATCATAGCAACGTTATTCATAACACTTGAAAAGTGGAAAAACCCAGATGTCCATCAACTGATGAATGGATAAACATAACGTAGTAGATCCACACAATTCACCCATAAAAGGGAATGAAATCCTGACATTAACAGACCTTGAAAACATTATGCTAAGTGAAAAGAAGCTAGTCACAAAAGGTCACGCATATTATACGATTCCACTTATAGGAGATGCCCAGAAAAGGTAAATCTGTGCACACAGTAAGTAGGTTAGTAGTTGCCTAGAGCTGGGGTGGGAGTGGGCAATGACTCTTACTGGGCACGAGGAATCTTACTGGGGTGACAAAACTGTTCTAACAGTAGATTATGGTGATGGGGTAGAAGTCTCCTTCCTGATGTGGGAAAACACGCCTTCAGCACAGGAGTCGACTGTAAAATAAAAACTGCAATGCTGAATTCTTTTATGGGTGTATGTACGTGTGTGTTAATGTGTGTGCACACACGCTGGCACACAAAAGATAACTAGGAAGATCCAGATCCTCGTGGAATTAACTTTGAGCTTTTCTCCTCTGTGATCTCTTCTGTTTCATCAAAACATGACTCAGTTTTCTAAACAGGGAAAAATCCTCTTCAGGGGTTGAAGAGGAACCCACGCATGCAGAAACAGTCAAGGGCCCAAGAGCAGATGGGACCGGTCCTGGGGAAGGGAGTCTTCCTTGGATCTCCAAGCACAAAGCACAAGCACCCGTTGTGAACATGGACATCACCCCTCTAGTGAGCAAAGGCCTGGTCCCCATGCCCCAGGAGGACAGGCCCAGAGTATGGCCATGGCCCACCCAACTGCAGCTCCCCCCTTGTCCTCTGTTTCTCCAGACCTCAGGTTCTCAAACAGCAGCATTCATTGAAAGTGTCTGGAGGCATCATTAAAACCAAATAGCTGGGCCCCACCCCCAATTCCTAATTCAGAAGATCTGGGAAGGAACCCAAGATTCAGCAAATTCCCAGGGGCTGCGGATATCGCCGTTGTCTGGACCACTGCCTGAGAGCTGGGCTGCAGGCACAGAGCACACGGAGACCCAGAAGGGCAGACCTGTTGCCCATGGGCCCATCTGTGCCTCCTTTTCTCATTTAGAACCTGCTAAACTATAACCAGTATTGTCAATGCCTGGGAGCAAAAATAAATGTGTCCACGCAGGACACTAAATCCTCAGGCACATCAGACACGTGATGATTCGTGGGGAGAGCAGCTTCCCAAAAGCCCCTCACCCTTCACTTCCAGGGCATGAGTGACCTATGGTGGACATAAAGTACAGAAGGGTGACTGTTTTTCATTCCGTTTAACCACCTGAGGGACAGGTGGCCCTTTACTAATATTTAGGTGGACTTTTCTGGCTGGTCAAGTGGTGCCACCACCTGCAGGTAAGTTTATTGTGTCAAATGTTAAATCAAAACCCAAACAAGGAGCAGACGAGGGCTGTGCTGTGGATGTCTGGGGTCACAGAGGCCTTGCACCCACTTGTTGGAAAAGACACCTCTTTTCCAAATGCAGTGACATCTGCACAGTAAACAACTAAGACTGAGCTTGGATGGTGACGGTGGCAAAATCGGAAGGTGAAAGGAAGGATTCGGTCCCCAGCCTGACTCCTCCATCTGAAAGCCAGTGTCCAGCTTGCCCAGAGTTTAGTTTGGTTTGGTTTTCGTTTTACTATAACCTGAGCTGACAACTTGCGGCTCCTGTCTGAGGCTCACAGCCCTCGGTCAGGAGCCCCCAGAGAGAAGCTGTATGGTAATGAGGTAGAGGAGGTAAGACACCAATATTAAAGCTCCCGAGTCAAAACGTTTAGGTTCTGAAACCCAAACCCAAACCCAAGAACCACTTATGGAATTTTAAAGTCTAAAGGATGCAAAATGCCCAATTTGTATTATATATGCATGAGGCTATAAATAATCTTCTGAAGAAAATATTGTGACTGTTGATAGAAGACACCTTTTCCACATAAAGACATAATAAGCAAAGTGTCACAGACACCATCACTAGAACATGTTCCAGAAAGATCCAGGGCACTGAACTATGTGGACATCAGACAACCCAAGCATCCCGTGAACTAACGCCCTCAAAAGGAGGCCAAGCATGGCACACGGGAAGCCTTCGCCTTGGGTGCTTCCTTACCTGAGCTCTTTGGGATCAAATACCAATTTCACATCGTTGACAATGGTTGGCAAGTATTTCAGTGCTGCACCCTGCAAACCAAGAACAAAGAAGAATGTTGAGCCTAAGGCAGTTGGCAAATGTTCATACGAAGTTGTAATTACTTTGAAAAACCACACACATACCAAAAAAACAAAGATCACTTTCCTGATGAGAAGCTGATGGTTAAACACAACAAAAATAGAGGGGAAAAAACAAAGCCTCTGATCCACAAACAGTAGAGATGTGTTAACATGGATATCCTGACACATAATAAAAGTGATATTAGCAGAAGCCAACATTCAATGCTTACTCACGAATGCCTATACTGTGCTAAGCTTTTATGTGATTTCCCCCTTTACCCTAAGGAAATCCTAGCAAATGAAGACCTGTGCCCCCAGAAGAATCCTCCACCAACAAATTCACTGTAGCGCTACCACGTTCAACAATCAGAATGACTGCCTTTGTTCCATTCCAGAAATGACTGCCTGTATATCTAGGTCCCTGAACTTGGAATCACTTTCTTCTTTAGTAACTTTATCTCCTGTATTCACATTCTGTATCTTCTAGAAAACCCACACTTTCAGAAAATAAGAGTGATGGTAATAATGATAGATCCTAATACATGCTCTGCCGCTGTGCTAGACTGGTGTATATTTTATCTTTAATTCCAACAGACCTCCTCCAGGGAGTTAGCTGTGCAGGAAGGCAAGGAAACTGACAATGGAGATGTTAATTACTTTGCCCCTGATCACACAGCTAGTACTGAACTAAGCTAGAATTAAAATTCAGTTTGGTGGGAAGCCAGAGCCTCAGCCCACCCTCATCTATATGTGATTGGGAAAAGGTCCTGGATTTTAAATGTTCTGACCCTGGCTGGGATGCCCCCCTCTGCCTCTGACTCTAAGTGACTCCTTCTACCAGGGGGGGGCTCCCCCTTCCTGAATGAAATGGAGGAAATAATACTCATGCCAAATACCTCCAGGGGCTGCAATAAAGCTCAAAATCTAATTGAAAAGAGAACTGGGTAACACTTTGAACACTGGAAAATGCCACACCTATTACCTAAACAGCTGTTAGCATTGTTTTCCAAAAGCAGGTAGGCAGAAACCCACCTTAAACCGATTACCCTGAATATATACGGTCAACCGATTTGCAACAAGGGACAAAGGTGCCCCCTCGTCCAGCACCAAATAAAATTCCTTCCATACCTCACACTCTATATAAAAATTCACTTTAAATGGATCATAGATCTTATATTCTTAAAACTATAAAATGGCTAGAAGAAGATACTTGTGACTTTGGGCTAAGCAAAGATTTCTTTCATATGATACCAAAAGCAAAATCTGTAAAAGAAAAAAATTTGATCAGTTGTACATCATCAAAATGAAGCCTTTCTGCTCTTCAAAAGAACTTCTGCTGAGACAAAAAAGACGAGCCACACACGGGGAGAAAATAATCGCAAAGCAAGTAAAGGCACAAGTGAAGTGAAGCTGTTTGCCAGGATCTGGAGCCAGTCCACCTCCAACCCCTCAAGCCTTAACGCGCCACAGTCAAGATGATCAAGGACAGGTAAGCCAAGTTTACCTCTAAATCTGCACTACAGAATTAGTGGTGTTTTCCCCCAGGTGTTAACCCTGTCCTTCAATGCCGGCCAGATCAAGGAATTCCAACTCTCTGCTTTGAGATACAACTTTTTTTTTTTTTTGCGGTACGCGGGCCTCTCACCGCTGTGGCCTCTCCCGTTGCGGAGCACAGGCTCCAGACACACAGGCTCAGCAGCCATGGCTCACGGGCCCAGCCGCTCCGCGGCATGTGGGATCTTCCCGGACCGGGCCACGAACCCGTGTCCCCTGCATCGGCAGGCAGACTCTCAACCACTGCGCCACCAGGGAAGCCCGAGATGCAACTTTTGAAAAGAACCTTAAATATAAACAATTTCATTGTGGCTTCCAAAGTTCTGCTTCAAATACCTTAGAGTTGCTTTGACAAAATAAAAAAATATTTACTGTGACGTTTAATAATAAGCGTTTGTACAGCTGACTGCTTGGGCCAGAAAGTGTCTTGTCTAGCTTGTGAGGGTCCCGCGGGCGAGGATGCATCAGCATAATGCGTTTTATCCTGTACCCCACGAAGCACCATCTGCCTGGAGCAGTGTGATAAATACCATCTTACAAGGACAAACAGCAGCAAACAAGACAGGCCTTCGTGGCCCACCCTCTGCTCGCTGCCCGGGGGCCGCCGGGCACTGCATTAACCAGGCTCCTGAGGGTTCCCCGACCCGAGGTCAGGCGACACCCACAGAGAGAGGGCTGTACCCGCGGAGATCCCCAAATGCTGGTTAACAGGGAACTCGATGCCTAACTGACCCAGATCCTAGGGACGTCAAGTTTTACAGTTCATGAGGGTCACAGAGAACAGAAAGCAACCACGAGCCCACATCACTCCTGGATAACATAACAAGGACAGACAGACGGAATGAAGTGAAGGCGAGGGGGTGCCCCCGCACCCCATTTCCAGCTCTGTTCTCTCCGTTCTCCGGCGGTCATGGGCTCCTTTCCACCCTCCGCCTTCCCCCAGTGACCGTCTCAGCCTCTCTTCCTTCTGCTCCAGCCCAGGATCCCACCCCCTTTTCGCTCAGCTCACCTCCTGCTTCAGGGAAAACCAAAACCATCAGAACAGGCTGGGCAGTTCTGCCCACCACTCAAGCCAAAACAAGCCTCCCGGATGCCCGGCCTCTGCCTGTCCCTCCAGGCAGACGGAGGGAGCACCTGCCTCCACCGG